CTGCCTTCCTCAAAGCCATCAGGAACGTTTCCCACGCACTAGAGTAAACCCTCGAAGGCATCTACAAGTCTCACTTAATCTGTGCTCGCCGCCCCTTAGCCCGCACCGCCCCACGCGTGTCTCTCTCCGGGTTCGAGGCTCCGCCCCTGGATCCTCAGGCTCCTCCCCCTGTGTTTCCCGCTCCCTCGGAGTCCAGAAGCCCCGCCCCTGGCTGCTACTTCACGCCCTGGGGAGGGATTACCCCCATTCCTCCTTTTTTCCACCTCTCCCACTCAAGTTCTCAACTTCCAAGGCATCTGGGCCTCCCCAGAAGGGATTGCAACACTGAAAGCACAGCCCTACTGTCCAGGATTCTTACCTGTCTCTTTAAGAACGTCAGACCAATCGACCTTCCTGTCTCTTTAAGAGTTAGGGCCTATCGGGGCAGTTGCCCCTTTAAGGCGGTGTTGGAACAAACCATGTCCTAGAGACTGTGGGGGAGACCTGCCGGGACCGGCGAGGCTCTGGCTCCAACAAAAGAGAGAATCGCCTGATCCCGGAGCAGATTTTCAGGAAAAGACGTCTTCTCTGTTGTGTGTTCTGCACAATGGAAATTTCCCCCAGTTCTACCCGAAGAACGAACAGCCGCCGAGCGGTGTCCCCCGCGCTCCTGGCCCCTTGGGCGCTCCCGGATGAGGCCCCACCCCTTTGGGTCCACGTGGTCTTCAGCGGCGGCCAGGGAACCCCGGCTGCTGGGTTTGCGCGCGACGTGGATCCCGGGATGGAGGGGGCCCAGTCCAACGGTGAGCGGGCGGATCGACGGGGTGCGGACGGTGAGCTGGTGGCAGGGGAAAGGGCGTCCCGGGAGTTTGGGCGGAAAAGGAAGCGGCCCTGGAGACCGTATTTGCGGAGAGAGCGTATCTCCCAGTGCGGGGAACCAGAGATCGGGCGGAGAGAGGGTATCTTGCCGGGGACTCCCGGTAGAAAGGCGCCCCCAGGGGTTAGTTCGGTGGAGGTGGGGACGCCCCAACAGGCGGGCAGAGAGGAGAGACCAGGAGAGGGCTTTGGAGATCTCACGAGGTTGGGACCAATGGAGCGATAGGCGCCCTGGAGGATTGGACCGGCAGGGAAGTGTCATAGACCCCCGCTTTCCCCCTTCTCCCGCAGGTGCCACTCGGTTCTCTTGTCCCCCCAACTTTACCGCGACGCCCCCAGCCTCAGAGTCCCCTCGTTTCTCCTTGGAGGCCCTGACAGACCCAGATACGGAGGTGTGGCTTATCCAGGCCCCTGCAGACTTTGCCCCGGAGTGGTGAGTGGTCCCATACTGTCCCCTGGGAATGCTCCCCACCCGAGAGGCTGAGCTTGAGGGAAATTTAGTGGGGCATTTCCGAGGAACGCCAAAATGCGCTTTTGACCTCCTTTCTCCCGTTCCACCAAAAGGCTCTCAGCTTCTGCCCTCCCGCTTTCTCCCCTCAGCCTCAATGGGCGGCGCGTGCCTCTGTCTCGCTCCCAGATTGTGAAAGGCAAGTTGGCAGGCAAGCGGCACCGCTATCGGGTCCTCAGCAGCAGCAGCAGCCCCCAGACTGGAGAAACAACCCTGCTGGCCCCCTCAGTGGAGGCGGGAGGTGGACTCACCTGTGTCCCGGCCCCCCAGGGCTGCCTCAGGATCATTGAGGGTCCACAACAATCGTTGTCCGGGACCCTTCTCCAGCCCATTGCAGCAAGTCCCCCACCACAGATCCCCCCTGGCCTGAAGCCTCGGTTCTGTGCCTTTGGAGGCAACCTACCGGTCACAGGGCCTGGGTCAGCCCTGGCACAGAAGTCACCCACTTCGGGGAAGAGAAAAAAGAAGATGCAGATGCCAGAGGCTTCGGTCACTCGGGAGGCAGTGAATGGGCACGGGGCCCTGGAGGTGGACAAAGCTTTGGGGTCCCCAGAAACAGATGTGGAGAAGAAGAAGAAAAAGCAGCAGCTGAAAGAACCAGAGGTGACAGAGCTTGCGGCGACGGAGCCCACAGCTGAGACGCTCGAGGCTCTGGGAGTGCAGCTCCCGTCCGCCACCAAGAAGAAGAAGCACAAAGGGGCAGAAACATCTGAGCCAGATGAAAAGACAGTGGAGCTCAAACCCGTTAAAACCGAACCTCTGGAAGAGACAGTCCTGTCCCCCACCAAGAAGAGAAAGAGGCCAAAGGAGACAAAAGAGATGGAGCCAGGGGAAGGGATGAGAGTTGAGTCTCAGCTGCAGGTGAAGGCGGAGCCGCAGGAGGAAGCCATCTCACTGCCTCCCGCGAAGAAAAGGAAAAAAGAAAAGTCGCAGAACACAATGACAGAGCCAGGGACTGAGGCTGTGCAGCCAGAGGTGAGACCTCGGGAGCTCCCC